CAGATTTCTTCTTGGCCGCCGCAACGGACTTTTCTGCCTTCTGAGCCTTGAGCTCGGCCTTGGCCGCCGCAACACTCCGCTCGCGACCAAGGGTCGCGGCCACCCTGCCCAACTCACTGCGTGGAGTCTTGGTAGTGGCGGGGGCCGCCTGGGCAACCTAGAAAAGAAAGAAAAACGAGTTAGTCGACGTCTGGGAACCAAGTCTGTGTCTCACCTTAGCCACTGGGGTCGGGGTAGTCGTCGCTCGCGGGGCGCTCGCCTTGCGACTGGCCTCCACCTTCGGCACCGGATGGGGAGGCACGGATTTGGTCGACTTGGATGATCCATCCGCGACCTTCTTGATTGGCTAAAAAGCTGGATTAAGGGGCGTGGTCTGGGAAAAAGGAGCCGGCTCACCTTGGGCTTGACGCGGGTCTCGCTGACCTGCTTCTTGGCCACGACGAAATCGCCGGTCTCCTCTCCGCTCTCGGAGGTGTCGTCCATGACGATGACGGACGGGGCTACGAAAGAATGAGTAAACGACAGAGGGGGACAAGAGGAAAACGTACTCAGATTCGATCGCGCTTTCCCCTTGGACTTGGCCCCCTGTCAAAAACAAACCAACCATGAGACGAAGGAATCGCGATCGACGAACTGGGTCACTTACCTGAAGGGCCAGCTCGTCGGCCGATGACGCGTCTCCCTCCTGGACCCCCTCGTCGTCGACATCCATCGCAGTGTCGGCGACGGCGGCGGCTTCCTCATCGCTGAGGGACTCGGGTTGCACGGGCTGTGCTTGGATCCGGGCTGGGAGGGACCAGGTGGTTAGTCTAAAGATCAATGAAATAAGACATAGGATTACACACCTACGTGCGTCTTCTTGTGAACGCGCTCGGGAAGTGACCCCTGTGGAATAGGGACCGAGGTAGCGGCTACGACAAGTCAGTACCCGCGACTCTGGTGAATGAAAGGAAAGAGCGACTTACAAGTAGGCGCGTGGGACGACGCCTTGGGCTCCTTTGCAGGAGTCGCCTTGGGTCGCTTCCCCTGCGACTTCTCGCTCGACTTCTTGGCGACGGCGACCTTGCTGCCCGCGACGGCGGCAGGGGCCTGCGGCTTGGAGCCGTCACCCTTCCCCTTCTGCTTGGCAGGCCGGGACGACGAAGGGGCGGCGACTTGTTCGGTTGGAGCCGCCTGGGGGTCGATCAGAACATAGTAAACGAATGAAGCAGATTACACGTACGGGTTCGACGACTCGTTTGCGTTTCTTGGGCGGCGACGACTCCTCGACTGGAGCGTTGGTGGTCAAGGGCGTAGACGCCGGCTAGTCCTTACGTGAGTGAAAAGAAGGAAGGCCAAAGCGAACAGGCGCGGCAATCATTGATCGCCGTGACTGCTCGCTCCAGCGGGCTTAGAACGGAGCTCACCTGCTGGATCTGGCGGACGTCGACGGCCATCTGCCGCAACATCATGTTGTAGGCCTCAGGGCTAGGCAGGTGGTGAGTTGGATCGACAAGCCATGAGAGAGACATTGACTAACGGCATGAACTGCCGCCAGTCGATGGCAGGCGGGTTTGCTCCCGGGACAGCTGATTCGGTGACGGCTGATGGACGGTTAGCGTGGTTGAAAAGTCGCGGTAATCGTCCTGGGCGTCACTCACGGTTGTTGTCTTGGGGGCGGGGGCTCTGGTCGGGCGCGGACATGGTGGTCGAAAAGCAAGAGTGTCTCGTACTAGGGAGACTCTCGACCCTGAAAATTGAGGGCATTTATATGGTGAACATGCCGGAAGAAGTTTGATCGCGGCAGATCACGGAAGGAACCGAACAACCAAATGAATAAGACGTGGGAACATAACTCTATGTCTCCGCGGCTTTAATAATAAATGAACGAGACGTCGACTGTTGGACTTAGACCTGACGCAGTGAGACTGTCGCGGGATTGACCAGGAGGTCAAAATTAGTGTTCCTGGGAGATGATAGGCTGGCTACCAGACGCGCTCTGCACCAGCTCTGTAAGGGCGTATTTTTGCGCTTTTTACAGAGTTTACTCTTGAACCATTCGGTGTATCGTGTCGCGGTTGACAGTGTTGCGCTCAGTAGGACTTAAGGGTCTACTGCCCAGTCGACGACTGTGGATAGTGTCGACGATAGCAAGGCAGTCAGACCACTACTGTGGAACTGGTCTTATGAGTCTACACCAGGCTCAGGGCCATTAGTGACGAACGCTTGGACCGCGACCATTCCCCAAAAAGGGATATGTCGTTGCGTCGGCTTCTCAATAAGGGTCATTCTCTGCAGATGGGAACTTGGGCTGAAGGGCTGAGCAATGCGCGACGTTCTCAATAATAGAACTACTACTGGACAGGACTTGGCGTTACAAGACTTAAACCATCTTGTCGCGGCAACTCCCGGTTTTGAGTTGGACGTTTCCTCAGATCATGCCACGACGACGACTTGTCACATGTCAGGATCCATTCGATCACGGGACATTGTGGACGCGTCGCGGTGACACTTCCAAGTGTCACGGCGAGTCGCGCCCATACTCAAACACACTAAAATCGATACGGCTAGATCCGTGAACCGAGCCATGTGGGGGACGATTGGCGTGCCTAGAGTCATACGGCTTCTTGGGGCGCCCACGTTGGTCTCACATGCCAAGACATGCCCGTTGGCCAATCCAGCACGTCGTATTCCAAAAGTATGACGCGGTGGGTTGGCCCACATCAAAAGTATCATATGGACGATGGAGCGGGGTCCTGATCACTCAGGACCTGTCCGATCGTTCAACTTTTCAATTACCCTAAAAGGCAACCGATCTTAGATAGCGTAGCTACTATGCAGTTGTACAGGACTTTACTAAGCAGCGTCGTAGACAGTATAAGTAGCACGTCGTCTCTTTGTATTAGGAAGCTTTCCCCCGGACTGTGAATCACTCTCATTTCAGATTGTTTTGTACAATTTGCGTGCCGCGTGATTCCACCCTAAGAAGTTCTGCTACCCCTGCCCGGTCGCGACGAGTTGCTCCCTGAGCACTTGTAGCTACTGTGATTTGAGTTTGAGTTGAGACATCAGAAAGTCGGATTCGCCGCATCTGGTTTAGTCGCGGCATTTAGTGTCGTCGCCTTCGGGCTTTGTTGAGATCGTTCCACACCTCTAGCTTGGCAGTGCGTCGACTAGTTGTGCTCGGGTTGTTTTGGTCAGTTGGCAGTGCGTCGACTTGAGAACTTTGGTTCCACACTTCTTGCTTGGCAGTGCGTCGACAAGTTGTGCTCGGGTTTTGGACATTGGATATTGGCTGTTAGTTGGCAGTGCGTCGACGCGGCATTTTGGTTTACTAGTTGGCAGTGCGTCGACTCAGTACTTTTGGTTGTGTCAGTTGGCAGTGCGTCGACTTGACATTTTGGTTCTACTAGTTGGCAGTGCGTCGACTCAGTATATTGGTTGTATCAGTTGGCAGTGCGTCGACTTGATATTTGGGCTTTGCGTCACCATCTGGACGCTGTCGCTACAAGGGATCTTAATACTTCGTATTAAGCTCTGACTTGTTATATTGTTGTTTGTGGATTGGATTAGTGTTGGTTGTGCTCGTATAGAAGATATTGGTTGAGACACCATTGTTTGCTATATATAAATTCTTGTCGTCGACTTCGTCTCCGCGACTATTGGATCTGCGTCTATTGAGAGTTGTGATACTGGTGCTCTGTCCACCCCGAAGCCCTCGCATCTTTCACACACTGAGAAGCTGATTACGAGGAGTGTGAACGTGTTTTATATTTGGGTTTACTTTCATAGTAGATTCACTTGTGAGCACGCCCTCAGCATTTCAGCGCCGGAGGACTTCGTTCATGATACGACGATGGAGGTGGAGGTCAGAGTGCAAAATGAGGATGTCGTCCAGGTACACCATGATGTCACCAGAGAGGATGAGGTCCTGGAGGATGTCATTCATCATAGTCTGGAACGTTGCAGGGGAATTGGTGAGGCCAAAATACATCACCAGTGGCTCGAAGAGCCCACAGTTGGTCTGAAACGCAGCCTTCCACTTGTCTCCTTCTTGTATCCGTACGTTGTTGAAGCCCTATCGAACGTCAAGTTTGGTGAAGAAGCAGGCTCCCTTGAGCTTGTTGATGAGGTTGTTGATCAAGGGAAGGGGGTACCGATTCTTCACTGTCATTGCATTCAGTGCCCGGTAATCCTGGACAAACCGTAGACTGCCGTCCTTCTTCTTGACAAAGAAGACGGGGGAGGCCATGGGGGACTTTGAGGGTTGGATCCGGCCGGTGGCCGTGCCTTCTTCAATGAAAGCGTCGAGCTGCTTCTGCTCCAAGGGGGAGATGGGGTAGACCTTGCAGTTTGTTGGCTTTGTGTCGGGCACCAGTTCAATGGCGTGGTCCCAGGGGCAACGTTCCGGAAGCTTGTCAAAGGATTCCTTGCTGAAGACATCCTTGAACTCGCGCGCCCACTCGGGTATGGAATCACGAGGGGGGGCAGAGTTCTTGGCAAACGCCTCCGCGAGATGCTGGGAGATGGTGCTAGTGGCTCGGATGTCTTCAGAAGGGTTGAAACAGGTGTAGAAGATACGGTCACCGGTTTCCAGACAATCTCCTTCTTCATTGGAATCTTCTCCATTGTCTTCCTGGAGCAGCGGCATAGCCTCGTCTTTGCGGTCTTCCATATCAATGACACAGATGGAGGGGCAGGGCCTTGTCGAGCTGATCGGAGTGCTTGGGCCAAAATCCGGGCTATCTGTCTCTCTTGGCGAGACTCCTCAGTGAAGATAGAGCAGCCAGACGGGCAGCAGCTCATCTTTACCTCCTGGGTGTCCCAATTGATTTCCGGGTTGTGCTTCCGAAGCCAGGAATACTGTAGCCCCGCGTAGGGGAGAAACGAAAATCTCAGCATTACAGAAACGTAACACTGGAAATGCAGAAACGGCCATGATGTTACGCGTTACACCGGAAACGGACTCAGAAACATGGGATGATTTGACGTGCAGCAACTATTACATGTGCAGTAACTAGCACCCGCTTGTTCACATCCTTACGCATACGAAAATGTCCTTGAAAAACAAAAAACCACCTGGGCCCCCCCAGGAGATGATAGAACACATTGAATACCTTGGAGACCTCATCAACAACCTTCCCGAGTCCCTCCCCGACAATCCACCCGAGTCTTTGCTCCAGTTCTACGTCAATGAAGACATCGTCGAAGAGGCAGGGACAGTCTTTCCTGCAGTCAGCCGAGCTCTTGAGATCTCCTTCGAGACATGGAAGATGAAGGACGCACCGATCAGGTTCAAGGAACAAGGGGACCGAATGAAGGCGCTTGTGCCATTTCTGAAGGGTGTACTAAAGAGGATGTTGGCAAGCGAGCGGGTTGTCTTTCTGGATACCTGGGTGGACCGGCTTGTAAAGGGAGCGAAGGACAGTGGGGCAACAGGGACCAGGAGGAAGGAGAAGCGAGCAAGCGATGATGCAGAGCAGGTTGAACCACTGCCCAAACGAAGGAAGAATGCAGCAATGATAGTCCTGTTGGACTCGGAAGACGACACACCTCAGGTTGTCCCCCGTGTCACTCAACACATTGATACCACCGTCGTCATTCCCTCCACCTCCAATGTCAGCACTAAGGACAACAAGCAAGCAACCCTGGCCACTATGGGTTGGCAAACATGGGCTGACGGCGCAAAAGCTTTGCATCTATCTGCCACACACCAATTGCACGCACGCAAGCACAAGGACCATGCCTCTGAAAAGGCGCTCGAGGCTGAGGCAAAGCTGGCGCGAAAGCAGGAGATGGGAGCTGAGAGGCAGAAGCGATTTTGGGAGAGGAAGAAGCTGGAGAAGGACGACTCGGATGTTGAAATGCTGCCAGATGCAAAGAACGCACATGTGGTGCTGCGGAACGGTGCTCGAGCAGCTGCGCTTGATGACGGCGTCATTGATGTCGCCGGTGTCTCACGTGCTGGTACACAAGGCTGGCGTGAACGCCGTGATGGTTTGAGGGGTGGAGTGGTCCAAGGGCCGGCTGTTATTCCAAATTACTTCCAGCCGTTTCTCTGGAACTTGCTCCACAAGACTGCAGTGCAAGAAGACTGGAGCCCAACGCGCATTGTCAAAAGGCTGCAAAGAGACCATCCTGCTCTCTTCAAGACACTCTCGAAGGGAACCATTAGCAGGTGGAAGGAAAAGGGAAAGAATGAGTGGTCGGTGGACACAAAGAAGAAGATCTCAACTGGCGGTGTTGTTACCAGAACTGGCCGGACCGGGATTCTTGCGCCGTTCCCCAACATCACCCTCTGTGTGAAGAACTTTCTGATTGGGATCCGGCAGTCTGGTGGCATTGTTAATGTCTCGATAACTCGCGGTCTCCTCCTGTCTGAGGTTGAACAACAAGCTCCTCAGCTTCTTCTCAAATTCAAAGTCTCTGAGACCTATGTTCGCACATTCCTAGCGAGTGTGATGGAATGGACGTCGAGAGCTCCAACTCGTGCAGCCTGTCACATCCCAAATGATGCTCCGAAACTTGTTGATCGCACTTTCTTTCGAATTCGATACGCAATATTGACCGGTCGCATCCCCCCATCCGTGAGTCGTTTCAATCACATAATGATATGATGTTTTACAAGTCTCGACAGCTTGTAATCAATGCAGATCAAGCGGGAAACTACGTTCTCCCTGCGGGTTCACACACTTTCCACGACAAAGGAGCCAAGCAAATCAATGTTGTGGCCAAAGACGAGAAGCACGCCTACACAATGATGATCACTTCATCAGCTGCAGGCGATTTCCTCCCCATCCAGGCCATCTGGGCCGGGAAGACAGCTGGATCACTGCCGAGCAACAACGCTCCCAACATGGCGGAGGCACTCGATCGCGGATTCGTATTCTCGTCGGCAAAGAGCGCCAAGACAACCAGTCATTTTTCCACCTTTTCCACAATGAAGGAATGGGTCAAAGGTGTCATCGCACCTCATCGGCTCAAGATCATCAAAAGGGACTCGCTCAATGATGATCAATCCATGGTCGTCTTCATTGATATCTACCCTGTCCACATCGGAACTGAGTTTCGCACTCATGTTTTCGATGAATATCCCTTCATCATCCTGATCTTCGTGCCCGGAGGTTGCACCCCCATCTTCCAGCCTGCTGATGTTGGACTTCAGCGCATTGCCAAGCACATTCTCAAACAAGACTCGCTCGACTTCCTCGTTGACACCTTCAAGAAAGAATTTTCGAATGGAGTGCCACCCACTGATATCAAGTATCCGACATCGCTTCCAGTTCTTTGCGATGCCACGGTTCGAGGGCTTGTGAAGATGTACGACTTCTTCCAGACTGAGGAGGGCCATCGCGTTGTGAAAGAGGTGTGTCTCGGTCTTGCAATCTCTGATCGGAATATGAACAATTCCAGGCTTGGTGGAAATGTGCTGTGCCCAACAAGCCCTGGAACCTTTTGGCAGAATGCTTGACCGGGAAAGAATCCGAAAAGGCTTTGCGCGAGTTTCTGCGCACTGACACATCCCTCGCAATGGAAATCGCCAACCGCTGCGGTGCCACTCATCTTGGCGCTGTCATGTCTGGTGCAGATGTTGCAGAGGATGTTGCCGACTTCAACGCGAATGACGATTCTGATGTGCCTCTGTCTGCTGTTATCAAGGACGCACTCTCAATTACAGTGGCATCCGAGGCCGCGGGCCATTCGCTGCCAGCTTCCGAGCAAGTTGCACCAAGAACCGCGAATGATTCGACAGCCGGACTGGTCACAAATGACCAAAGTGAAGACATTTGGCCTTATACAGTCAATGGCCGCATTTGGAGCTCTGTCGCTGAGCCAGAGGATGCAGAAATGGCTGCTCAGTAAAATACAACATGCTAGATCACATTTTGGGCTATTTCAGACATAGTTGAATGTAACGCTTTTTTTTGGGAAACAGTGGCCGTGTTATGCGTTACACTGGAAACAGAATGAGTAGTGCGTTACGCGTTACGTTTCTCCCCTACGCGGGGCTACAGTAGCCGAGGATCAGCTTCTGTTTGCCAAGCTGAGTGACAGCAAGCTGGACTCGCTCGCTGTGTCCTTGGTAACGCAGGACCACATCGGCAACTTGTCAAATGGAGCCAGCTTTGTTTGGCGTGCCGTCCACATTGTAGACTGGGATAGGCTGGGAGAACTGCCGGACCGGAAGTCGGTTTTCAGAGGTGTAGGTGGAGTCGATGAAGTCCGAGGTGGCGCCGCAGTTGACCAGTCCGCTAAGAGAGAGCTGGACCGCATTGTCAGTGGACTGGATCTCCAAGGGGAGGTGCAGGGAGTTGGCGCCAGGGGAGGCCGCGACTACATAGCGCTGGGGGAGTTTTCGTTCCCACTTTTCCTTGCGGACCAGTGGAGTCGAGCAGGGGGCAGGGGGTACATCTATCGTTTCGTTTGTGGGGGAAATGAGATTGCATTCATCATACAGACATTCGAAACGATTACGTGAGGCGATCGAGGGCGTACTATTCACTCGTTGCGGGGGAGAAAACCCTGCTCCAACTCGTCGGCAATCATCGCTTCATGCTCTTCTACAGCTGCCGTAGTTGCTAGCCGGGCCACTAACTCCACCAACAGGTCGCTTCCCAGCTGATTGATCACTTCGTCCAGGACGTCGGCATGCCGGACATCGGTGGGAGTTGGGCAGTCCCGGGCCAGGTGTCCTGGGCTGCCGCATCGGAAGCAGGTGTAACAAACACTGCTGCGGGCTCTGGTTCGGTCGATCTCCATGGGAATGCCCGGCGGGAGGACTACTGGGGCTGGTCAGGGAGCAGGAGGCGGGGCAACCACCGGAGGAGCCATGTGGCAAGGGCGTGGAGCCGCAGGAGGCGGGGCGCGGGGTGGAGAGAACACCTGTCCTTGTGCAGCCTGGGCAGCCACCTCTGCGTTGTACTGGCGGAATGCGTGGGTGCGCCACTCTGAATAGTTTGTGAGTCTGGGTGGGTTGCCAGAGGTTGTGATTGCCTGGTTGATTCTGGGGTCCAGACCTGCCCGGTACTTGGTGACCTTGACCAGGTTGTCGGAGTACCCCGCCAAGTCGAGGAGGTTGTCGAACTCGTCCGTGTATTTAAACACGTCGCGGGATCCCATGTAGTAAGCATGGGTTTCCAGTCGTGCCAGGGCATGGTCCTGCTCATTCTCCTCAACAAACCGGAGCTTGAACTCGGCAACAAAGGAAGACCAGGCTGGGAATGGGAAGACGAGGCGCTCTGACATGCGTTCTGACCAGGAAGCCGCCAAATCCTTGGACATGTAGGAGAGGGCAAAGCGTACCACCCGTTCTTCTGATACTACCCCGTTCACGTGGAAGGCCTCAGGGAGGAGGCACCAGTACTGCTTGACGGAATGGAGAAATGTCTTGCCCTGGGTGCAATCCCTGTCAAACGTGAATGGGGGGTTGGGGCGGATAAGGGGTCTTGTGCTGGCTTGTTGGCCAATAGATACACCTGGACCCACTGCCGGAGGCTGAGCAGGGGCAGGGGCAGGCTGTTGCTGTGTAATTATGAGATTGTGGAGGAGACCTTCCATCCGTTGCATGGCTTCCTCCAGATTTGCAAGCCTCTGTTGGGGGTGGGAGGGGTCATCCTCTTCTTCCATTTGGGACATGATGATCGTAGAGGGGGAGGAGGGGACAAGGTTGGAAGTGAGAAGCAGATGATGCTGTCAGCGGTCTTCACAAGCTTGTCCAGTTATCCCTAAGAACTCGGTTTCTGCTGTAAGGGCAACCTCGAGGCCCGATCTCAGAGTCCTGACAAGGGAGAGTCCAAAGGGTCAGATAAAGGGAATGACTCATACAGGAGACTTGGCAAACCTGACAAGGGAGAGTCCAAAGAGAAACCGAGTTGGGGACTCTCCTTGTCAGGGCCCACTATATATAGCCTACAGAACAATGGATGACCAAGCACAATGGAAGCGCCAGACAATGGGGCCAGGGAACAATGAGGGGCCAGATCGGGGAGAACAATGGGAGCCGGACCGTCAGAACAATGGGGGTCCAGGCCGGAGTGTCATGTGGACGTGCTTGGCAGGGAAGTCCGGACTGAAGCATGTGACGCCTGACAGATGGCACGTGCGCGGTCACATGCAAGATCCCATGATGATTGGACAAAAGCAGGGGTTCCCCTGACACACATTTACGACTCTTTCAGCAATGAATGGGACCTTTGTCAACCTCTGGATTCAGCAGCTGTCCCATCAGATCACAATGACGACAACAATGACGAGGGCTATGATGACATCTTCAGCTCCTACAAGATAACTCCTGCCGCCCATCCCACAGATATCCATGACGACCATGATCTTGTCCAGTCCATGAATGACTTCTAGGACCAGCTTCCTCTAGGGCTGTCCGATGAGGTGCAGATGGCGCTTGCCAACACCAAAGGCCTTCTAGTGCAGGTCGACATATACAATCGCAGTCCAGACAAGGACACACCCTGGAAGTCCACCCCGTAGCTGTGGCCGATAATAATCCCAGCAGGGCCATTCTCGAATACCGCATGGGCTTTATTGGCGACCCAGAACAATCTTTTCTGGAGACGGAAATGGTGCGGCCGCAAGTCAGCGCACACTTTCTTGGTGATGCTAGGGCTTCTATGGCAGTGCCCGCCAGCAACGCAGTCAGGGCACTTTTCCATGCGCTGAACAAGGCCAAGCTTGTCCAGGACCTGCCTTCTGACCTCTTTGATCTCTGTGACATGGAGATATTGGAGGACATCTGGACCAAGACCGGTGTGATTGTGTCTGTTGCTGAGAACTTGAGCAATAAAGCAGATCGTTCCACTGGATATCTACTCCAGACATGTACTTGAGAGGGCATGGTCAATTGCCAAATCCTTCTGTTCAGTGCCACCACGGTCCTGCAGCTCATCCACTGTCAATGTAGCATGTGGCATGAGTTGATGAGCTATCTCTACCATCTCGGGGCTGCGTTCATCATTGGCGTCAAAGCTTCTAGTACCTTGCCATCTTTGTACCAACCAGATCTCCTTTGCTGTGGCAGCCTTGGAGTGCGACTGGAAGGTTACAGCCCTAGCAGGGAGGATCTTGGCAAATACTGGGAACTCCTCTCACGCTTCCTACATTCTCCCCGTGGTTGACTTGCGCTTCAAGCTGGTGGTGTTGTGGGCTGTCTCGCACGTCTGATCATTGATGACCCAGAGCTTGATCTGAGAATGGAAGTTGTGGACCTCGAGATGGCCGAGGAGTGATTGAAGTACAAGGACAGTTCTTTCTACTACCATGCTCTGACCAAGGAGGAAGAGGATCTTGTCCTTGGTGTGTATAGCATCAAAATGAGTAAGTTCATGCTTTTGTGAGAAAAAGGAGATCCTAATAACATTATCCAGACCAGCTGGATTCCAGTGCTCAAAACGGACATCAAGAGAAACGAGTCTCATGGTGGCCCCAAGCTGGGGCCTTCTTTTCTTCTGGCATGAATGTGGGTTGGTGGACGCCAGACTGCAAGCAGTGGTTCCAAGACACACTCCTTGAGATGGAACAAAACCGTGCTGTTCTTCTCAACAACACACTCTGGAAGGAGAGGATTTATGGATACAGTGCTGCCTGGCACCTGTCCAAGAATCTTGACTGTGTCCATGCTGATTTCCTTGCTCACATCAGGTAAATGGGATCTCGTTTGTATATTGTATTCAAGTAGTAATTCAAGTAGTGGCAACAATGTGCATTTACCTACCTATCATCCTCCATGTATATGTATATCTTTCTTGTATCTACTATCAACTACAATCAAGCATGTGTTTATCTTATCTTTGAGGCGATGAGCACCGGACGAGCGGCAGATCATCCGGCAATGGATATTTTTGACACCAATATCTGAGATTTAAGTGTGTCCCTTTTTTGGCCACAATACCACTAATATTATCATTTCCCATTGTGAACTTTTTTTAGGTCATATTGAGATCGAAAATGTATTGCATCAAATGACAGCTTTTCCACACCCTATTAGTGGCTACGTTATCTGACAAAAGTTGTCCGTAAATAAGTAACCTAAATTTGATTGCAATACATTATTTATCTAGAATTACATTTTGCGCTCTGATAGTTGACAAAACAGGGAATCTATAGAGTGGTATGATAGTTCAAATATTGGTGCACTTATCTAAGACCCTTTTTTCTACTCCGATATTTGTAATAGAAATGATTCTTTATGACTCCTGTTATTTGCCATCCGCCGGAGTGATTATCACCATGCTCGGCTACTGATCGGTCCAACGCGCCCACGTGATGACTACCTACCCTGGGAATGCAGTGTATTGCTCTGATATGTGACATATCAGGTCAAGTAAGTTTTTCAGTGACAATAGAGGAAATAGAATTCAATCTCTATGGGCCATGTTACGTGTGATCCCCCGGTGTGAATAGTACGGTATTAAAAGCAAATCTTATCGAAGCGATGCTCGTCACATGATCTATGTCGCAGACACAACACCTTCAGCCCACTACCACCTGAGGCTTCCAGCCGGTCACCAGCTATCTCTTCAGCCGGAGGTGACAGCTGGCTGCCAGCTTGTCGCCAACTGTCCACGAGATTTTAAGACCTGCGTAAAGCTGGGGCCTCCAGCCAGCCAGCCACTAGGACCTAGGTGAGGGGAGTTTGTCAGTGTACTTAATACACATATGCCATGTGTTTGAGCCACGCGGAGCATTGGGATATTCCAGTCGCCAGGTCTCGTGAACTACTCCGGGGAGAAGTATGAAGCCCGATCCTGACGTGTGCGAACTGCCGACCACCAACACCGTGCGCTTCGTCATCGCGACTGTGGAGCGCCCGACTCGGGTAGCGTCGCATCATCGGGCGGTGTTCCTTCGTGTTGCATCGGTCGACGTGGTGAGCGTCCAAGCGAAAGGCGACGCCGGAGGTGGACGCAACAGAAACAGACCGCGTTTGCAAGATGAGAGAAGAACAGTTGATATATATTGTGTCACGAGAACATTCTATGCTGGAGATAACCCTAGAAGAAATAATACATTTTATGAGGCCGACTGAGCGGCGAGCAACCCTGCGATCCACCCAGCGAGCTTGGAGGCGTTGTCTCCAATCCACGCACCGGCATGCTCCCCCTCGACTCGCTCGACGGACATCCCTGAATATGCCGCCTTCCAGCGCTCGTCGACCTCGTCAGTTGCCGCAGCGACATATAGCGCAGAGGTGGTATGGGGTCCAGACGGTAGCCAGTCAGCCATCGCCTTCACGTTCTTCTCGTACGTCCCGGCCAGCGCACGGATATCGCTGCCATGCCGAGCGGCGAACGCCGCAAGATCGAGGGTCGCCTCCTCGGCAGACAAGGCGGGCCTCGACTCCGCAGAGAACACGTTGCGAACGAACGCATCCGCAGTCAGCAAGACGTCTGCGGAGGT